TTCAGAATTAACGTAAGGAAAAATACTATCCTCCGTGTCCATACAGGTTGCCTTGAACTGAAATGCCGCCAATACTGTAGTGGAACAAGCAATGCATATTACAGGCTCTGTTTTTTCTTCCGCACACTAAATCAAATATTATCATGAAATATGACTCAGTTTTCAAAAATTTACAGAATACAAGGTACAATACAAATTTTCTTACTAGTTTCACGAGAAGAATCTCTAGAACTTCTTTAATAGTTTCTTCTATTACTTTAAAATTTCCATCAGTTATGACATTGCGGCAGAGCCGGCAGAACGTTTTCGCGAAATTTCCCATTTATGCTTTTTAAATTCGGGATAAACTCACACAAAAAAAATAACCTTACATCTTACATCCTTATCACAGAACACCACTAACTTACAGAATAATAGGTTTATTGTTGTTTACCGGTATTATCTAAGAGCATATACTACATGGAGGAAACACCACGTTAAAAAATGACGTTGTAGAAAGGGTGATAGGTTTGGTTATTATTATCCTGTCCCCACACTTATACACCATTTACAACTCCGACATCCCACATCCCCCCAACACCAACATATACTTATACGCCGACGACCTGACAATCACATCCCAATCCGTAGATCCTAGATATTCCGTCTCCCTCCTCCAAAACTCCTTAGACCAACTTGAAACCTGGTGCAACAGGTGGAAAGTCAAAATTAATCCCAACAAAAGTTCGGCTATCCTTTTTACCAAACGAAAAATCCCACAAAACCTCGACAGACTGACACTATCCCAGGAACCTATCTCCTGGAATCGACAAACACGATACCTGGGCGTGACGATGGANATTATTTTCATTCATATGAATTTTTATCCCCGCTAAATAAAGCTCCCATCTAACCCCCCGCGATGCCACTCATAAAATTCCTGCATACCTTTTTTCTTGTATGTCGGTGCGGTGATATTCGATTGTCTCATCTATCCTCTCGGCCGTCTTATCTCGAGATGTTGTAGCTCGTTAGAACGTTGGAACAATCGAAACATCTGCGCACTCGCTCGAGTAGCGCAGGTGTTAGTAACGCTGTGCCCACTGTCATTCGTATCCGAATAATCGAATGATTCTATATGACCACTCGAGATATCTCGAGAGATTTTCATAATCGATATAATCGCTAATTTTCATTCGAGTAGTCCCATCACTAGTTTATTGGCTATTTGTTGGCGGCAACATGTTATCAATAATACCGAGTTTTAGAACCAACTTTAAGGTAATTGTATGATGGTTCTGCTTCACTGACGTTATATAATTTTAACTGGATTCTCAAATAAAGGCTCCTAAATCTCTCTAATACTTAGTATTATTACATTTTACATTAATACGCTTCTTTGTGCATACTATTAAGCAGTGCATTGTGCGAATTCTCATAAAAAGTGTTCTACTTTTTTCATTAAAATATTCTACAAAATCACTACCTCTTTTATAAGAATTAGTTGTATGAAACTTTTAAAATCATTTATAATTGACTTTAGATTTAATACCGAAAAATAACCTCAAATTAGTCTAGTTCCATTCCTGAAAACTTGGAATATCCCTTGAAACCTACCTATCGTTATCGGGTTCCTCAGATTTTATTTCAATCTCATCAGTCTTAGCACACAACAGACTCTCTTTGTCTCCATGAAAATTTTTTATTTGTTCCTCAACATCTAGACACTTTTTTATTAAACTGCTGTGAGCGTTCAGAGAATCCAGACAACCTGCACATACTACCGGCTCCTTGGTGGAATTAAAATTCTATAAAAGACGCAATGTCTCAATAAAGTAAAGTGAAATCTATATAAAAAAAAATGTGTTTCTAATATAAAAAACTATACATACTATTTCTGGGATACATTTTTGGATTATGTCAATTTCCACATCCTCTACCGATGTAAATCCACAGGTGTCCATCTGCATACACAATCGACAAATTCTCTCATCTTCCAATATGGCTCTCAAATGTTCTTTACCCCGTATCTTGAGATATATCTCTCTTAAATCAACAGATGCCACGTTTTCAGAATTAACGTAAGGAAAAATACTATCCTCCGTGTCCATACAGGTTGCCTTGAACTGAAATGCCGCCAATACTGTAGTGGAACAAGCAATGCATATTACAGGCTCTGTTTTTTCTTCCGCACACTAAATCAAATATTATCATGAAATATGACTCAGTTTTCAAAAATTTACAGAATACAAGGTACAATACAAATTTTCTTACTAGTTTCACGAGAAGAATCTCTAGAACTTCTTTAATAGTTTCTTCTATTACTTTAAAATTTCCATCAGTTATGACATTGCGGCAGAGCCGGCAGAACGTTTTCGCGAAATTTCCCATTTATGCTTTTTAAAATCGGGATAAACTCACACAAAAAAAATAACCTTACATCCTTATCACAGAACACCACTAACTTACAGAATAATAGGTTTATTGTTGTTTACCGGTATTATCTAAGAGCATATACTACATGGAGGAAACACCGCGTTAAAAAATGACGTTGTAGAAAGGGTGATAGGTTTGGTTATTATTAAGCAAACAAAATATATTACAACTTTTGTACGCTTTTATAGAGATTAGGAGATGGCTTTCTGCTAGAAAGCAGAGAGTTGCGTTAGTCAATCACATGCCTGCGCAAGAGACATGTCTCAAACTATGTTTTTCTCTCTCTGTCGCCTTAAGCCTGTTTCCTCCTATTGTATATGCTCTAAGAATATTACAACTTCAGGGTTTTTTTCGCGAGTGAAGTCGTATGTTGAAGTATGTGCAGTATGTGATAACCAGTATCACCAAACTCATCAAGTCCTACTTCCACAACTGAAAATTCCGCATTCAGATCCAATATACCTTCTCCACAACCCGACCCATGGACACGGGTGTCCCCCAAGGTACCGTCCCATCCCCACATCTCTACACCATATACAGGGTGGCACAAAACTATGGAAACCCTTGAATCACTCGTCAGGAGTGCATTTTCTTAAAGAATTTTTTCTCTGGCTATTCAATGGCGCCCATGTATTCGACCTAGACCTTGACATTCAAGGTCATTTCAAGGTCAAAATTGATTTTTCAAATGGGAACCTTATCTTTTTGCGGATTTGGAAAGAACTGGAAATTTTACGTCCAAAAATGGTCTTCAGCATGACTTTGACAATGACCTTGAAGGTGGATCAAATGTGGGTCGACTTGCAAAAGTCCCGGTACGGCAGAACTTTCGAAGAATGCATTTTGGGAGAAAATGTTTCAGACAGACTTGTAAGGATTTTTCCCTGGCTATCTGATGGTGACCTTGGATTTGACCTCGACTTTGACCTTCAAGGTTATTTGAAGGTCAAGTTAAGTTTTCTAAATGGGAACCCCTATTTTTTATTGCGGATTTGGAGAGAGCAAGGTCATTGTCAAAGTTATGGTCAAAACCATTTTTGGACGTAAAATTTCCTGCTCTTCGACATAAACTGGTTGAATTCCATTGCTTTTAAATTATCCATGCGAAATTTCATTAATAAATAAAGGAAAATGTCGGAGTTATTCTACAGTGTGACCCATTTGAAACCGAGGCACCCTCATAAAATTTTCATTTACAGGGCGATTTTGACCAACATTTTTTTGACTTGTAGAGGGGCGAAAAGTGTACTTTAGCACCCAGTGTCATCCTTTTTATACAAAAACCAAGGACTACCATATCATTTTTGGAGGGTCAAAATTGAAGAAACCATATTGGCGATTTCTTTAGAAAAAATCTAAATACGCTCCTTAAAATGGGCCTATACCAAATTTCATAAAAAAATATTGCATATTAATCATTCTGTAGCAAAATTAAAAATCACATTATTATGAACTTTTTTGTCTGACGAAGCAAGCCATGTAATAAAACGTCCTCTCATTGAATGGTCGCCAAGATCACCTGATTTGACGCCACTAGACATTTCCTTTTGAGGTATACTTAAGCAAAAAGTGTATAAGTCAAGACCACAGTCGGTAGAAGAATTACGCGCCACAACTGAAGCATGTGCAAATCTTACCCCTGAACAACTGAGAAAAGTAACCACGAATATAGGAAAATGGTATGATAAGTGCCTTGAAATAAACGGAGGATTGGTGGAGGTAACAAGAATTTAATTAATAATTATTCTCTTCTGAAACCTCATAAATTTTGTTGAATATTGTTATGAATAAAAATAGTTATTGTCTTATTTCTGAAGTTTTATTCCATGGCTTGCTTCGTCAGATGAATAAAATTCATAACAATGTGATTTTCAATGTTTCCACAGAATTATTGATATGCAGTATTTTTGTTTATGAAATTTGGTATAGGCCCAATTGAAGGGGCGCTTAATCCAGTGGTGTACTCAGATTTCTTCTAAAAAAATCGCTAAAATGGTTTCTTCAATTTTTACCATCCAAAAATGATCTAGTAGACCTTGGTTTTTGTATAAAGAGGATGACACTTGGTCTTAAAGTACACTTTTCTCCCCTTTACAATTCAAAATAAAGTTGGTCAAAATCACCTTGTAAATCAAAATTTTATGAGTGTGTCCCGGTTTCAAATGGGTCACACTGTATTTTCTTGCATCCCTCAATTTTTTTTTGAAAATTGTCACATTTAACATAACTTGAAAACTGTCACATTTTGGCCTATAGTACCTTATATAAAATTAGTCTAGATTTTACCATAGAAATAAAAAATGCAAAATTATACAGAGTGTTCCATTTGAAATGACAAAGTTGCTGATGCCTTCCGGTATAACCAGAAGTGCGAGAAAGTTGACACTATTTTCATTGAATTGATCTTTTTGATAAACCCCCGACACAAATTTTCAGGTTTCAATTCCGACTACTTTTTGAGATAATCCTACTGGGCCCTCTTCGTGATACACCCTGTATAGTTAATACAAAGTAGAGTAAAGAAATGAAGCAAACAATAGAAATTTTTACAAATTTAATTAATATTTCGTACCCCCTAGGTAACTCTCACAGGAAATTTTTGTATGATGTCCATGGAAGTTCATAATATGATACTTTTTCCTGAAATGTTCAACATGGCCGACATGAAACTGCATTTAGACGTCACAAATGACATCGGTTTCAACAAAGTGAATTAACTCACATTTTTATGTTTATTGAATATTCCTGAATAACGAAAATCTCACATCCCTACTTTACATAATATTTGTGTATCAACTGACGTCTTGAAAGGTGCTTCTTTTGTTTAGTTTTGAAATCAAGTGTCTCACAATGGTACATTTGCACCTCGACTGGGCTTGTGTTTGAGCTGGTGTCGTGTAAGGTGGTCCTTACGTTTGGTGTTGAAGCCGCATGTTACACATTCGTACGTTCTTATTTTAGAAATGTCTTTGTGAATTAGCTTATGGCGCGAAAGATTACTTTTGTGCTTGTACGTCATATAGCACCACTAACACTTATATATAGACTTTTTGGAATAATCTTGGTGTAACAGTACATGATTTATGAGAGATCCTTTATATTTAGTTCTGAAGTCACATGTATTGCAGTGGTACATTTGCACCTCAGACGGATATTTGTGTTTTTGAGCTGATGCCGTGTGAGAATGTAATTATTGCATGCTACGAAGTCGCACGTATCACACTTGTACATTTGCACCTTGGTCAGACTTTCGTGTCTGAGCTGATGTTGTGTAAGGTAGTCCTTACGTTTGGCTTTGAAGCCGCATGTTATACATTCATACTTTTTTCTTTTATTAATGGGTATGTGAATTAGCTTATGGCGCGAAAGACTACTTTTGTGCCTGTACTTTATACCACAAGACTGACATTCATATATCGACCCTTTGGAATAATGTTCGTGTGCCAGTAAATGATTTGTGAGAGACCCTTTATATTTAGTTTTGAAGTCACATGTATTGCAGTGGTACATTTGCACCTCAGACGGGCTTTTGTGTTTGAGCTGATGTCGTGTGAGATAGACCTTACGATAGGTTTTGAAGTTGCACGTATCACACTTGTACATTTGCACCTTGGTCAGACTTTCGTGTCTGAGCTGATGTTGTGTAAGGTAGTCCTTACGTTTGGCTTTGAAGCCGCATGTTATACATTCATACTTTTTTCTTTTATTAATGGGTATGTGAATTAGCTTATGGCGCGAAAGACTACTTTTGTGCCTGTACTTCATACAACAAGACTGACATTCATATATCGACTCTTTGGAATAATCTTCGTGTGACAGTAAATGATTTGTGAGAGACCCTTTATATTTAGTTTTGAAGTCACATGTATTGCAGTGGTACATTTGCACCTCAGATGGGCTTTTGTGTTTGGGCTGATGTTTTAAATTACCCGTGCGCTGGATGGTCCATTCGTGATCATTACGGAGAGCAGAGTCACTGAAAAAAATCATTAAAGAAATGAAAATACCACAAGTAACATTAAAAAGTTAAAACCCAATGTGGCAATTGGGTTCAAATCGTATTTAAGTGATGTGATCATGCTATTTTCCATTTGACAGAAACATTTTAAGTCAAAATCAGGTTCTTATAAGAATACTAGATGTCACTGACAAATGGTTTTTTTTTCAAGAAACATAAAATTACAAGGATAATTTGAAAAATTCTAACACATTAGTTAACATGGAATTAAAAATACTTCAGACATATACAGGGTGAGTCATAATTAGGTGTAAAAAAATTTAACGAAAACTTCTCGCCAAAATAAAATAATTGTTCAAATAAACCTTTGTTCCAAAATGCCTTCTTATAAAGATACAGGGTGCTAAAGTTTATAAAAAAATATAGTTTCTTAATATTTCCAGAACGGCTGAACAGATAGCTTTGAAATTTGATGTAGTAAATGTCACTGTCTATTATCTTGTTAGGAACCAGCAAAATACTAAAAGTACCAATATGGCGAAAAAATTTTGCATCACTAACCAATATTGGAAATAATGTTTTTTTTTTAATTTAACTTTCATTTTACTATAAAAAAGCATCCTTATATATTTTCAGCAAAATTTTTAAAAATAAACAATATTAGAATTAACTGCTAATTAACTAATTAACAACTGCTAATGTTCGAAGTGCCCACCTTCAGCTACTAATGCAATTATTATGCCACGCCTTCAATGGTATTTCGTTTATGTGGTACAACCTTACACTGTGTACCGTCTCTGAATTAAAGGTCATATTTGGTGACGGTGTAGCTAAAGAACTAATTCAGTACTGTAATGGGAAAAATCCACCTGCATCATTATCGGATCGACTTATATTTCTTTCAAGGATAACCTGTCGTTTTAACGAAGCAAACAGTGAATGTTAAAGTTACCACGAATTTCATTTACTGCCACTATAATTTGTTTATGTAACTGTTAATTACTTCGTGGCAAATCTATTACTGTGAAACTTCCAATAAAAAAAATCTAGTCAATTTAAGTCCGGATTTCTTGGAGGCCATCTCACAGAACCGAATAGACCAATTCATTTACCACCAAACTGGAATCTGTCATTGTAGGGAGGTGCACAATAGTGTTGGAAGAATATCTGTAGTCTAATATTTAACGGTACCATAGTGAATTCCACATATATTATACTGACCGAAAATTGTTGCTGGAATCTTCTGCTAAATTTAACATGTGGATTGTCTAATGAATGAATAGTGGTAAGTTTCAAAAATTTGTAATTTCCCTTCTGGTAAAAATTGCTAATACCTCATAATCCTTTCCTTAATCACTTTGGGTAGTTTATTGGCTATTTGTTGGCGGCAACATGTTATCAATAATACAGAGTTTTAGAACCACTTTAAGGTAATTGTATGATGCTTCTGCTTCACTGACGTTATATAATTTTAACTGGATTGTCAAATAAAGACTCCTAAATCTCTCTAATACTTGGTATAATTACATTTTACATTAATACGCTTCTTTGTGCAAACTATTAAGCAGTGCACTGTGCGAATTCTCAGAAAACATGTTCTACTTTTTTCATTTTTCAAAATATTCTAAAAAATCACTACCTCTATTATCAGAATTAGTTGTATGAAACTTTTAAAATCATTTAAATCATTTACTTTAGATTGAATACCGATAAATAACCTCAAATTAGTCTAGTTCCATTCCTGAAAACTTGGAATATCCCTTGAAACCTACCTATCGTTATCGGGTTCCTCAGATTTTATTTCAATCTCATCAGTCTTAGCACACAACAGACTCTCTTTGTCTCCATGAAAATTTTTTATTTGTTCCTCAACATCTAGACACTTTTTTATTAAACTGCTGTGTGCGTTCAGAGAATCCAGACAACCTGCACATACTACCGGCTCCTTGGTGGAATTAAAATTCTATAAAAGACGCAATGTCTCAATAAAGTAAAGTGAAATCTATATAAAAAATGTGTTTCTAATATAAAAAACTATACATACTATTTCTGGGATACATTTTTGGATTATGTCAATTTCCACATCCTCTACCGATGTAAATCCACAGGTGTCCATCTGCATACACAATCGACAAATTCTCTCATCTTCCAATATGGCTCTCAAATGTTCTTTACCCCGTATCTTGAGATAAATCTCTCTTAAATCAACAGATGCCATGTTTTCAGAATTAACGTAAGGAAAAATACTATCCTCCGTGTCCGTACAGGTTGCCTTGAACTGAAATGCCGCCAATACTGTAGTGGAACAAGCAATGCATATTACAGGCTCTGTTTTTTCTTCCGCACACTAAAACATATCATGAAATATGAGTCTCAGTTTTCAAAAATTTACAGAATACAAGGTACAATACTCTTACCAGTTTCAAGAGAAGGACCTCTAGAACTTCTTTAATAGTTTCTTCTATTACTTTAAAATTTCCATCACCTATGACATTGCGGCAAAGCCGGCAGAACGTTTTCGCGAAATTTCCCATTTATGCTTTACAAATTTGCGATACACAGTCACACACAAAAAAATAACCTTACATCCTTATCACAGAACACCACTAACTTGCAGAATAATAGGTTTATTGTTAGGTCTGTTCCAACAAGAGTCAGGGATTGGTTCCCAACCAGTTCAGTGCGAACAGCCGAGCTGAGCGGACGTGCTTGTTTGTGAGGTGAAGTGATTGCAACGAGCAAAATCTACCTGCCTTTATTAAGNACAGAATACAAGGTACAATACTCTTACCAGTTTCAAGAGAAGGACCTCTAGAACTTCTTTAATAGTTTCTTCTATTACTTTAAAATTTCCATCACTTATGACATTGCGGCAAAGCCGGCAGAACGTTTTCGCGAAATTTCCCATTTATGCTTTACAAATTTGCGATACAAACACACAAAAAAAATAACCTTACATCCTTATCACAGAACACCACTATTTTGCAGAATAATAGCACAGCAAATAAAACAATCAGCAGTCTAGCTGTAGTTGGCGGGAACGATACGCGCAGCACCTCGCGCAGGCCGCCATTTGAGGCTAGAACTTGTCAGAAACGGCAGTGGCGTGGTCAGTCTTACCATTTGATGTTCACTGTGTTCAGAGTCGGCGAGTGATTTTTTATGTGTTATTGTCATTAAACCCTTTCTGATTCAGTGTGTTTAAAACTATTAATTGTATGTGTGTGTTACTATTGAACTCTTATTTGTTCTGTGTATTGAAACTTTAGATTAGACTATTAAACTCTTATAGGTATATTCTGTCTGTGATGAATATTGTGTTGTTGGTATGTATATTTTATTATAATGTCGATTTTGACAATTTAATCACAAAGATTGAGACCTTGTTTCAGGATAATTTTAAAATACTCATTTTAAAATCAAATTTTTGCAGTAATTATCTAAATATTTGCAATGAGCTGCCATTTAACCACCCTTGCCCACAATTGCCACAAGAGTATGTATTAAAACTATACATAAGAGTAAGAATTAATTATACCTTAAAGAACATTAATAGAAATTTTAAAAATATTAATAAAAACAAACTTATAATATGGCGAAATCTGTAAAAATATTGTTTTATCGTAGCGTTGTTATTTAAAGTATGCTAAATATTTTTTATGCAGGTTTTTTATTTTATGTATTTATTTATTTTTTTATTCTTTGTGGCTAAATTATATTTTGTGGGCATCTTGTGTGTATTTATTGCTTTCTTTTATCTATGTACATACCAATTGCTGTATATGCTGTGACAATGCTGA